AAACGATTCTGAATCGGCATATTATTGGTCGCCGCCCGACACACGCTACCCGTAACGTTAGGCCGCGGCGCTCCGCCGTCCCGTTTTCGGGTCTGTTCGGTATCGGAAGGCTCAAATGCTGCCATATGACGAAGGTAAAACTTCGTTTAGAAAGTATTTGCGTAGTGCAATTTACCAGCACTGAGATGAAGCGGCTAAAATAAAATTTTTGCTCGAAGCGCACTTAATGGCAAGGCAACCTTTTAATTTCTACCGTGACAAAGAACTGTAACGAGGTACAGACATGAGATAGAAGGTCTTTTAGGCTAGTGGTAGATAAGCTAGCATCAGATGCTGCAGACACCTTCTCTTGGGGTCTGGACTGGGTGTAGGGACTTCTCCACAACCTTATTGAGCTTTGTCACACCGACGCACGTCCGAGGACGACATGGTCACTAAGACAAACGGACGGCATCAGTTGGATGGTTGGTCACTTAGTGCAGATATTTTGTCTTGGCACACCATAAAATAAGTTGAATCTTCCTGTGGTACGAAGAGACATGCCAGCACCGCGATGGGCTCTGTGATTTCCAGCACATCAATCTCGATAGGAGACCACCCTTTCGTTGACTTCAGAAAACGGTGTCTGCGTGCCGCGACTTTTTTGGAAAGATTAAATCTGAAACCTTTGAATGGATGAATTTCTGGGATTTGGCCACTTGACTATGCGTCCTCGAAGTAAAATCTAAAGAGAATTAGGTTTAAAATTGTTGTCCTGCTGAGCAATTACTCCCAGTGTCAAGTTTATGCGACATGTCTTTGGGGAAAAGCTGGAAAAGGGTGTAATTCACAGAAAAAGACGTCTTAGCAAATCTGAGAAAGGCTCAGTGGTGACTACCGCGGTCGGCGATCATGCCGCATAAGCATGATCAAGGTCATTCAGCACGTGGTGGTTACAACCGCCACAGTCATTATCGTGCGGAAAATATACTTGCCACTGGTGGGGAAACACGTATTATTTTCATCTGGACAGCCCTGTACTTTAAAGCGCTGCTGCATATTGCGGTCAATTTTTTTCATTCCGACCTACGCGTTATCATTTCAAAAACTTCCAAACATTTCTAGGCTGGCCTTACACATGAACGAGTGGCAAGAACACTAGGTGCTTACAGGATTTTATTTGGAACAAGATAAACCTGATGCAAACAAATTAAAACTGCATCAAACTGCGATCTGAACTGCATCAAAAGGTCCTCAAGATGGTTGTTTCAGTTCAAAACCCCAAACAAAGGTGGAACACTCCCTTCAAGGTAGTTACTACCCAGTATACCAATAGTTCAGATAATTCTTCCGTATTTGTTTGGCCCAGTATTCCCTATTTGATTATATGCATTGAGAGGGAAGAGATTAACGGGCTTAAGTTAGCATTTGGGGGAGGCTGAGCCCTCCCCCTCCTCAATTATAAAAAGTGACACCGGTGGCAAGGGCCTACTCACTCGGGCATTCCGTTCGCTGAGGAATCTTCTACGTTGCCCTAGATCTCGGCACTTGCTTGGAGGGTCTCGCGCTGTTGTCGGACCCGTTATGCTTAACTGGTGTGGCACTCTAGATGGACAAGGGCACTCAACAAATTCTTTCCAACCGCCAAAAAAGCTCTATACGTCATTGCCGGGGGCCCATACGTTAACCTGCCGGGATACTCTCGATTACTCTTGAGCAAGAGTCCCTGCAGGAGCCCTTCACATTGATCTCGGAAGAATAAAGAGCCCTTCCCTTGAGCGGAGGACCCTGTGCTGCTGCAGGCAGTCATATAAGTAAGCCTACCGAAACACTCAATGCTAAGGGACTCTGGATATTGGACTAAGGCTCTTTCCAATTGCTCTCATTTGCGTATGTACAATTCCAAGGGTCCTACAGGAACCTACCGACTTTTGTCGGGGCCTTTTCTGTTGGTCTGCTAGGGCATTCTTCATCGCACAGGGGCGCCTGCATTGGTCTGCGCCACTTTACACTTTTGAGGATCCTGCGTTGATGTCGGGGAATTTATGCGTTCGTGTGCGAACGCAATCTCAATCACTGAGGCGCCTTCAACATTGGTCTTGGGTTTTTTCTCGTTTGCTTGGAAGGCCCTGCGCTCTGGCTCGATCTCAAATGTTAACCTGCCGGGACACTCCCGATCGTGCAGGGGCCCACCACGTTGGTCTTGGGCTCCTCTTGTTTTCTAGGAGGACCGTACACTGTTACAAGAAGCTCATGGTTGACCGGCTGCGGCACCCTCGATCACCCATGTGTCGTCTCTGTTGGTCTTGGGCTAACTCATTTCATCGGAGAGCCTACGCTTTTGACAAGGCCCAACACCTTAAAAGGGATGTTCCACATTTGTATTGCGTTTTGAACTGAAATAGCCATCTTGAGGACGTTTTGGTGCAGTTCACGGTTATGTCCTTTTTAAGACCCAAAACAATCTGGTTCCTGAGTTACGAGCCCGCAAAAATGCGAAAAAATTTATTTGGAGCATATTTCAAAGCTGCCTCGGCATTAACGACGTCATAAAAGCGTTATGCGATCGCAGTCATACTACAGGCTGTTTTCTGTTTATGGTCAAAACAGCATGGTCTCTGCTACATTCGCAAAAACTATGATGCGGCACGTATGATACAGGGTGCGAAAGATGATTGGCTGTTAGCAAGATTTCGCTGCTGAGTGCGTGTCGCGAACGTAAGCGTGAACGTTTTTGAGTTGTGCGGCACTCATGAACGGGCATTTTTCCTTATTTCTAGGCCATAGGTCAATGCTATAAAAAGCACGCCACTGTCTGTGAAAAAGTACGGTACCCAAAAAACGGGCACTCTCCCCAATGTTTTAAAAGAGACGCGACAACAAATCTGTCTTTTTTCTCCGCTGGTATTTTTTCCTCTCCTACTTACATATTTCTTAGACAGTTCGATTGGCGCCTTGCATGCCGGAGCACAGAACCTTGCACGGGCTCATGGGTTAACAAGACACTATGAAATTGGGGAAACATTACAGTAATTTTAGATATATATTTCACTAAATATTTCACACGTATGGTATCACAACTTTAAACCTTAAACAAAAAATTGTGTTCTACAAGTAGAATTTCTTGAGACGCATCGCCATGAAGCCTCATTGGGACTGTTTTGAAGGGAGGTTACGCGGAAATGCGGTTTTATGGCTGAAAATCAGCGCGGACATTGCCAGAAAACCTTCTATTAGGTAGCTCCGCAAGCTGTGCAAGTATGAGAACACACTTATTTGACAAAGGAGTGTGAATCGGGGGCTTGACATGTGTGTGTGGTCACTGGTGGTGTGTGCCAGTGGCTTGTATTTATCTTGATGTGACAGGGAGTGTGCGTGCGAGGCTTGTACTTCTGATAGAGAACATTGCTTTGATATTCTTTAAGTCGATTGACTCCGAATACAATGCAATATATTGACACCAGCCCCTACCTTTACGTTTGTGTTTGAATATCACAAAGGAGCGCTGGCCAACTAAGAGAAGCGCTAGCACTTATGTTGCAGGGGTGTACGAAGGCAAGCTCGTAATTCATTATGACCCTGGCAACGTTTTGAACCTATGAGGTATTACAGCGTGAAATTAATCCATTATGTGTCATTATATCAGCAATTCATTTTGGGAGTAGGGGCTGGTGCTGGTGGCAGTAGCGTGCAGCTCATTAACACGTGCCCGGGTGGCCGGCTAGATACCCTTCGCTCGGGTGGGGAGTGGCCAATTTGACCTCCCCCCCCTGAGATCCCAGGAACTAAGAAAGCTAGAGACACCAAATTTACAGGTGGCTTTGACTTGTATGTGAGCTCACTTAGGTCAAAATTTTATGTTCCTAGGTCATGACCTTCATGTCAAAAAGGTCAAACAAGGTTAAGTTCCAGGTTGGTATCCACAGTGTCCCCAGAACCTAGATAACCGTTTCAAAGCAGAAGGTCGCATGCTCATTTGAGGTCAATGACATTGTTTAACCTTTTGAAGGTCAAGATGACCAAAATCATGCCATATTGCTTTGAGTTTTGCACTTGACGAGGCGACAAAGATCGCGCTAGTAGGCAGTATGTTCCTAAAACAAAATGTTGACTTGGGTCATTTTAGGTCAATGGCCTATTCTGACCTCTTAGAAGTTTATGAAAGATGGATAATGTGGTTCCTGCTATCAATGAATACGAAATTAGCACCAGAAACTATCCCATACAGCAAGCCCTAGAGTAACAAAATAGGTTGGTTTTGACCTTGGTGTGAACTTTATACCTGACCTTAGGTCAATGCAATTTGCTCATTCAACTGTTGTGTTGCCTACGAAAGCATCTCAGAGACGTATGGCTTAGTCTAAAACTCCGTTGTTAGATCAGATTGAAGGATTCCCAAGAAATTGCCTTCGCTGAAACCATGACCTGATTTTGACCTGCTATAGGTCAGTGACCTTACAAATTACACCTAAATTTTTTATGCCAAACGATCCGCTGTTCAATTGTGTACAGCTATTCAAAATTTGGCACGGCTATGCCGCGCAGTTCGGAAACCATTCTGAAAAAATCTTCGGGGGGTCAATTTGCCCCCACCCGAGCGCGTGTTAATGCACATGCTCAGTATAGGCTCACATGATATGGCTTTACAAGACTGTCTTTCCATAAATAATTTT